ACTACCTAAGACAATGACTTACTGCTACCACAGCATGCTACATGCTGGCATGAAAAATAATTTTAAAAAATTGTGTGCATTTGTGCTAGTAACTGTGTATCTCAAACAAAACCATGGACTCCCAATTTTTATTACATTTTTAATTTCTTTGTCTAATATTATGTAAAATGATAAAATTGAATCAAAATTGACCAATTGAATTTTGAGAACAAACTCGATTCTATGAGCAACATAGAAGAGGCTTTGCTAACACACTACCTCAATTATGTAATTGCAAACATTTTTACATTGTTTTAAAGTATATAACATATATGTATTAATTGTTTTGTTTACAACAATTATATATAAATACTTAATTAAATAATAAATGGTTTTACTACAAATTCATTATCTTTAAAAATATTCATAGATAAATTTATAGTTCTTTATCAATAATATAAACTAATATGAGTAATGATTTCAAATTTAATGGCCCATTAAAAATCTTGATAGTTTATAAATTTGAATTACTATATTTCTATAATTATAAAATTCTGTTCTTTGTAAGAGGCAATATCAATTTAAGTTGAAGGCTAAAGCATTTTTTAACATATAACAACAAAACTTTATAAATTTATTTACAATCAATAAGCAAAGGTATACTTACATACCTCTGCTTCTGATCTGCTTAAGATATAGTGTTGTTATTATGCTATGCAGTTTGTCCTTTATTGTTGAATTCTTTACTGTGAATTCTGATCATTGTTAGCATATAGGTTTATATAAGCTACCATTGTTATATCCAAATTGTTGTGGCACTTAGATTAAGTTGGGTGTGAAAAGTTATTTGTATCTAAAACAAGATCTAATTAGATCTAAAACACTAAAATAAGGAGTAGTAGTATTCTTCCTACTGAATATGCTCCTTTTTTGCATTTCTACTACAATACTGTTTTGATTACGTAATAGAATTAATTTTGATAAAGTATTAAAACTAAAAAATCTTTTAGAATATATTTTAAATGGCAAATAGAATCAAACTTCAGTTGAATTCTTGTAGTATTACTAATTCACATAACTGAAGTGACAACAGAATGAACAGATATGAAGTTCACTCATATGCATGTAATAACTATTATCATTTCATCATGGGTATTTTTGAGACCCTAGTTCAATTTCTTTACAGGGATTATACAAATCCAGTTATAAGAGAAAAATATGGAATAAGCAGTGAGGCAAGGCCTCTGACCACAGTTGGGTGGCGTATTAATGCATCCTTCTACAATTGACAATGTCAAGGTGCCATTGACTATAAGATGCATCTTACTTTCAGAAATGTTAAAATATGAAAAAATATGCACTTTAGAATTGAAAGAAATAAGATAAAAATGTATAATGTAGATTAGGTACATAAAATATTGAGAGAGTTGCAGAATTATTAGAAATTTGAAATTTCTGAAAGATGAAAAATCAGGTAAAAGTACTTTTTATTTTGGAATATTAATTAAAGATCAAAAGTTAATGTAACAGAAAATTCTAAGTGTTGTACTGTACCATAAATTTTAAATGAACTTATAAAATATTAAATGGAAAAATTATAAATGTCATTTAATTTATATTATCAAATAAAATTACAGTACTGTACTTAATAAAATATTTTGATAATTAGCATATAACATATTAATACTATATATATATACTGTAGTATTAATCTATTTGGTATGGTACAGGCATAGTGTAAATTTAGCAATGCCAGAGAATTCTACAACACATTTATACTGTATATATGTACAGTTGTGCCTCTTAGTTTGAATTTAATTTTTTCCATGAGGCTGTTTGAAGTCTAAATCAATTTTTCCATTAGAATTAACAGAAAGTGAATAAATTCATTCCCAGACTGTGTAAACAAATACCCACTACTTATTTGATCCTGCTGGTATACAAATGGTGTTGTTCTTATAGAAGCATTGGCTTTACTACAGGTCTGCAAAGTCTTGTATTATGCCACACAATTAGACTGTTGGTCTGTTTCTCTGATAACTTGTTGATTCTGAGGCAATAATATTGAGGGTAACAGCATTATAAATCTTCATTCTTAGTTATCTAAGCTGGATGCTGCTACAGTGATTTTTGTGCTGGACTACTGCAAGACGTTAAAGAAATGGGTAGACCAGATGGCTTCATCTGATTTATCCTCAGAATGGAGGAATACAGGTCCCATATGTCAGATTAGCAGGAGCAAATTGGTTAAGGGCTACATGGTATACAAGACCACCTAACTCTCATCATATTTGACTATAGCAGTGTTTTTCAACCTTCTTGAATACGCGACCCCTTTACAAGTTAAAAAATTCTGGCAACCCTCTAGGGCCATATTAAAACTATATCAGTGATTTTAAAAACTATGTATTTAATTTTCTCTCTGTTGAGACAAATTATTGTTGATTAAAGTGAAAATTTCAGAAGAATCGACAATAACTTAACACACACAAAGTATGAAACTTCCTTTAATTATAACATTTGGCACAGGAAGATGTTGACCTTTTTTTTTTGTTTAGGATCAGAATTTTCAGCTTCTACGTTTCTACTTTTTATTTCTTTTTGCAGATCAGCTCAACACTTTTTCCGCTATCATTTTCTGGGGTGGGCCGTAATTCTCGCTGAAATTGTAGTTTTTTTTAATGTTGTGTAGGACCTACAAACACTTGTCTTTTTCTTTTACCCGCGACCCCCGTGTAAGGCTTTGCGACCCCCAAGGGAGTCGCAACCCACAGGTTGAAAAACACTGGACTATAGCATTTAGAAGGGGAGGATTCTCAATCAGTCAAATCCTTGTTGTTGTATATATACATAGAAACTATTAAGGATATGCTGGTTTTTTTGTTTGTTTAACTAAAACTAATGAAAGAACAAATGTTTTTATTTGTTTTTTCATTAGTTTTAGTAAGTATAATTTGGGCTGGATATTTCTGGTATATTTATGTGTATTGGACTTTTTTTTTTATTGTTTGCAGAACTATTGGTGTGTCCCTGTTGTGGTGTTGTGAAAAGGAATTGGTGGTTCATTACTGGCCATCTTGTAGAAACTGCATGTTATAATCTTAATTCTGGTGATCCCATGGATAACTTTGATACTTTTGATCCTCAGGTATTAATGAATCTTTTAATGAAAAATATTCAACAAATTAAGTGCTTTTGCCAAGTCAGCAGAATAGTTTTAGTTATTCACCATACTAAATGATTCTGTGTACACAGAGTGATCACTACAAATTCAGCATATTTATTAGTTGGAGAGTAAGATATCCTAGCCTTAACTCAACCATATAAGAACAAGAATACAGAGCAAACTAACCTTCATTTCTGCTGGTCTGTGTGTAGATGATCAATTGTAAGTCATTGGAGCTGATTTATGGTTTTTATAATAGATTAATTTTCCCTGATCTTGAGTATATTGAAATTTTTACATTTATTAAGATAAACTTTTGTTATATATTGTTTGTTAGAAAGCCTAGTAGTTGCATTTCTAGTTTATTAAAGTTTTTGATTTTTTAATAAATTCTAGTCTGAGGTTTGTTCCTTATTAACATTTTGGACCTTGCAAAGTTAATTGGAATTTTGTTTCAGTTTTTCTTATAATAAAATTTCCATTATTGTTAATGTTGTTTTAAAAGAAATAATGGAAGATATGTTAATCATATTTATAGATTTTATTTATGGTTTTTAGTTTTGATAGTTTCTAGAGACAATAAATACAAATATGACTAAAAGTAGTGAATAAATTCATTATCATGATGTTTTTATAACTTTTGTTGTATTCATTATACAAAAATTAGAAAGAATTTTGTAATTCACATAATATAAGACAGTTTCAGTTTCATCAATATCTTCCAATTTGAGCTTGGGCAATTAGTATCAATAATTGTTGAACAATTATTGATACTAATGACAGTAATGGAAAATATAATAGAAAATAAGCTATTCTGTAACTTATTGATTTCTGCAATTTTATTTTACATGAAATTCAAGACTTGTGATTGTCATTAAACAGAAAAATTAATTTGAATCATTTACTATTATACATTATTTGATAAAATATTCTTTAAGACTTTTTTCCTTCTGTATATCTGATTATATGGAGGGGAAAAAAAGTAGATGCAAAAATATAAATTTAAGAACAATAGATGATGATAATTCTTGTAGTAATTACACTGACTTTTACTTCTGGCACTTTCACTTGTTTGTTTCTTTTCAAATTAGTTTTATAAATGAATGGAGTTTAAAGGTTTATACACTACATCTTCAATTTTCATGGACGTCAGTGTTTGAGAATTTGACAATCATAATTGGAAATTTATGCACCAAAATTTCAGCTTTTATGAAAGGTTTTGACCTTTTGTGAAATGGGAGATTACATGGTACTATAAACTGGGGTTGGCACCTGTGCAAACAGGATGTTTGAGCTAAAAGGTCACTGCACTCACTCATTGGTATGGTATCTGTCATAAGCAGGGCTGTGGAGTCGGAGTCGTGGAGTTTTGGTGTTTTAGCCGGAGTCGTAGTCAGATTGTAAGGAAGAGTCGGAGTCGGTAGATTTTTACGTGACTCTAAAGCCCTGGCAGGGCTGTGGAGTCGGAGTCGGAGTCGTGGGGTTTTGGTGTTTTAGCCGGAGTCGGAGTCGGATTGGTAAGGAAAAGTCGGAGTTGGAGTCGGTAGATTTTTACGCGACTCCACAGCCCTGGTCATAAGTTATATTACTGTTTTGTTTTTTATTCTTTGGGCTTAAGAAAATGACTTACAGCACTATAAACCATTGCACAGTATATATAGTTAATAAAAGAATTCATTTTTCTGAAATTTTGTTTTTAAAACAGCAGTAATATGTAGTCTTGGAACGAATTCAAAATTTAACATTGAAAATAAAACCCAAAGTTTGAGAATTCTGTGTTTATGGTCGATTACTCAGTCCCAATTATTCATGTACAGTAGATGGGAATAAGTGTATTGTAAAAGAATAAAAAAAGTTAATTACATAAAAGTTGTAAAAAACTCTCTCTAGTAATTAGTGCTTCTGGACTTTCTGTGTTCGAAACTTCATCCCATTCATCATACTCATTTTCTAATAACCAATAATCTTCTGTTGTATCACCTAATATTTCACAGATATTATGCAAGATGCAACAGGTATGAATCAACATTTCATCAATTCCGTCACTGCTCAAACACACAAATCTCGATTTTAGTTTTGCAAAAGTTTTCTTCATAATATCTTGAATGACATTTAATTTCTGATTAAATAATTCTTGCTGTTCGTTTAAATTACTTGTTTTATAAGGAGTTATTAAATTTCCTTTGAGGGGAAAACTATTATCTGCTATTAAGCAGGGGGAAACTATTACATCTCTGTCTTTAATAATGTTGCTTACATTTTCTTGAGCCAAGATATCATTCAGATTAGAACTATCGTATATTTGTTCGTTGGTACGATTCGAATTCGAGTTAATTTCAATGTGGAAGAAACGATTAGCATAATCACAAACAGCAAAAAGCGTAAAATTATTGCAGTCTTCGACGTTAGTCGGAAAGCGACGGATGCCGACGACGCCGAAACACTGCGGAAAACCAAATTCTTCGAAACCTTTCAAGATGTTGTCGAAACTTTCACCATTTTTTGGAAATTGAATGAATTTTTGGCCGAGATTCTCGACAACTAATCTACAGAAATAAACTAGCAGTTCTTCTGGATTTTCAAGTTCTAAATGGTTATCACCCGATGAAGTTAACACATTCAAAGCATTTTCTACAATTCTCTTCACTCCAATTGTTTGGTATTCTCCATTTTCAATAGAATCACGTAATAAATAGCAAAGGCATGTATAGCTCTTTTCTGAGAATTTAAAATGATGACTGGGAATCGAATGTTTACTTTCATAGACAGGATGCTGAAAGGGAAGAATGGAAAGTGCTAAAATGGCCGAACGACGGCGAAGTCGTCTCACTTTATGCTTCATCCAATTCAGTTTTATGTAATTTTCTTTCATTCTGTTTTCTGTACACAACAATTGATTATAATATAAAATAAACTCTCTTATTAACCTTTCATAGCAAAAACTCGACATCCTGATATTCGATTCTTTCAATTTAAATTTCCTGCTTTAGCGCCATCTGCCGTTATTAATCGCAAAACTTAATTTTTGATTTAAAATACAGTATTTTTTAAATAATAATTTGTTTCTTAATTAAAAATACATATTTTTTGTTTAATTGTAATAATTAAATAATGTAAATTAAAAGTTCGTAACAAAAAACAGACCATACTGAATTTTGATGGGCACTAAGATGGCCCATTTTTAGCAAGTCCATTCAGGCCCCTTTATTCTTAACCCCTTAAAGCATCAATTCCATATCACATCTGTATAAAATTGTTGCGGTTCCTTTTTTAACGCCTTAAATTAAAAAAAAACGTACGCAATACGCACATTAAGATTTCAAGAAATATAAAAGCATTGGAGACATTTGTTTAAATTAACTTTTCTAAAAATTAAAGAGAATGTAATCATGTAAAGAATATATGTTGTATATTCTGGATTTCTCGTCTCGTTTCCTAGTTCACATATGTATCAGTTAATTATAAAATTAAACGCGTAAATAGAAATATAATTGATTTTTGTAGTTTTGGTTGGAAATAATACGACATATCAAAATACAACAAAAATACGAATATAAATAATTTTGTGCATTATTATTATTTATAAAGATCCTCAATGCAAATTAATTCTAATAATAATAAATTTTCATGCTTGGAATTAATTTATTGTAATTCTCATCTTGAACAATATTAGAAAAACTATGACAGTGCTTAACATATTATAAATAAAATTAATGTAACATTTTAATTTTTATTTGATACTAAAATATAGTAAACGTTATTGATCGCAATAGATGTAAATAAATTTTGTTTAATTAATTGTCTAATTTAAAAAATAAATAGGTTGTGTCAATAACATATCTCTAGTAGTATGTTAAAAATATAAGATGTTAGAGAATTTTTGGTTAGATTTACAAAATTTTTTAAATATTTACAAGGTGCTAATTTCTTCAGCAACTCTATGGAAATTTGGAGCTTAATGCCTAAACGTATTAAAAAGGAAAAATAAATCTGGAGCTGGAGCCAAGAATTATTTAAAGAATATATTGCTCGAGCTCTGACTCTAATAAAACATTGTAACTTGAACTAGTTCCGGCTCCGACTGCAAAGCCCTGCTGAATAAAAATGCATCTGTGTTTGCATAAGGATAAATAAGCATGTGAATGGGGTTTGATTATAAAAAAGATTTTTAACAGGCAGTTAGCTGGGAGAAAAAACACAGAAAGTTCAAAGAGTAAGGCCAAATGGATAAATCACTGAACACTGGAAGTTGATAGTGAGTTCACGTCTGACTAACGCTGGCCGTATGGAATTTTTCAGATTTCTTTCACGTATCTAATGCGTAAATTGGAAACAATTTTCCATAGAAAGTCCTCCCAAAATACATCCCCATTGGTAGATCACCCATGTGTTACGTTGTCTTATCACATTAAACCAAACTAAACTGTTAAAAAGTGGAATCTAGAAATGATTTGTTGAATATAAAAAGTCAGTTTCGAATTGAATCCCAACCAGTAAAGTTGGACTTAAACAAATGTAGTTGAACTGTTGAATAATTTCTAATATTCAAGTAGTAGTATTTTATTTTAATTAAAAATATGAATAGACAATCGCTCAAGTATAAAGTCTTCCTAATATTACTCCACCAAGACAATAATCAAAGAATTATTCTCTAAAGTAAAAATTTAGACTTCACAGAAAAAAACAACACTAAATTATTCTCTTTATCTTCTTGATGCACTTATATTTTTCTAGGTAAAGGTGTGTTAAAATTTTTATGATATCGAAAATACATATATTAAGTTAATATTACTTAAAATGTGTTTGCGTCTTCAAAATGTAAGACATTATCCAGATATGTTATATTAGCTGTTACCCGCGACTTCGCCCGCGGAGGTTTTGCAAACAAACCCCATTTATATTCAGTATTTCAACAACCATAGTAATTGTTATATAACACCTACAACTGAGAATAATGAGAATTGCCTAGAATCAAACGAACTGTTTTCAATTTGATGAATTTTCTGGAACGTGTACAATCATTCTATAATCGAACCATTATGCAATAACAAATTCGAATTTAAAACGGTTCGAACATTTAGTTAAAAATCGAAATATATAAAAATATTTATAACAATGTTTGAAATGAAATGCTCTCCCCCCGCTGGGGAATTTCGGAAAATCCCTTCTTAGTGTGCATTTCAATGACGTACCCTAACTGTCTACCAAATTTCACTTGTTTAGGTTCAGCGGTTTGCTCTGGGCGATGATGAATCAGTGACTTAGTCAGTCAGTCAGGACAAGTAANCGGATATTGATGTTTTAGTGAAGGAAATTAGTTTAATAAATAAAAATATTCAATTTAAATGCGGAAAAGTAGTAGATAAAAGGAAAACTAATTATTAATAATGTAAGTTCGTAGATTCAATTCGTCGTTTTCAGTTTATAATATAATTGACAATAATTTCTTATTAATAGTAGAGTTATCTCTCGGAATTTGGATAAAAGGAGGGAGATATTTACTTGTCCTGGATAAAATATAACTCATCATTAAAATTTATATGCTCGGTAATTTTCGGTTTTTGGTATATTGTAATGAATTAGTTATATTATGTAAACAGTGCACTGTATATATACAGAAAATGTTTCAGTCTTGGTTTATTACTAATGTTATGATGGTCTTCATGAATACTGATGTTTATACTGTATGTATGTAGGTGTCTTGGTATCCGAAATGCAACCCTAAAATTCGATCGAGGGGGCTATTTGTAGTAAAATCTAGTCTACTTATTCCAGTCAGTCCCTGATGTGATAAGCCCACCAATTTATTAAAATCCTACTTATTAGGCCAATTAATTCAAACTAAATTAGAACAAAGGTTTGTTATGCTTTTACGATAATGAAATATTTGTCTATTTATCCAGAAAAGAGCAAATAGCAATATCAATTTAATGATTAATTAATGTTTTCTCATATTACGTAAATTGATGATAAAATTATGATTAAGCAATTTACTTGAAAGCATTTAATTCTTGGACGAGTGATTTTACATAAGTTACACGATATATTCTGGGTTTAATATCATGAAAAGTGTAGACTTTACAAGTCGTTTCTCAGAAATGTAAAAATTAATTAAAATGGTTACAATTTTATAAGGAATTTCATAACAAATTGTAGGAAATTAGTTCTGCTCCATTAAATTTTGGTTTTAAGGTGTTAGGCAATGCAACGCATAGCGATCTGACAAGGAGAGGTCACTCCCGGGAGGATGACCTATTTAGGTATCATATACATTAAGAAAATAGCAAAATCCACCAGCTTATTGGTGATGCATGAAGAGTTATAAGAGTTAAATTATATTTTCAATGGTTATATTCACTTGGCCTCTGGTACTTTGAGCAACCTTTATATTATGAAAGTTGAATAATTTGAAATCACAATAAAAACATTTTAACAAATATTATTTGGAAATGACTGTCTTTTTATTTATTAAAAAAATTTCTTCATCCAGCGAAATTTTACAAATATTATTTGCTTTCTTTATAAATTTCTGGAATCGCTAACAGTACAATTCATGAAAATGTTTGATGCTGCTTACTCTGATCGTCACACTTGTCCTTCACGTATCACGAATCCATTACTTTCCGCTGTTAAAGTATTTGGAGTGGACTTGTTCCATCCGTGCTGTCATCTGAATGCTTCTTCAACAACTTTCCTCTGGTATACTCGAATTATAGAAGTATTTTTATGGTACACTGTCATTCATTTAACATTAATTACCACTGTGGAATCGGTTTATTGTGGCGGAATTATTTATTTGTTACACACTTACGGGAAACAGGCAATTTTTGTAATATTAATCACATCGATGTACGTTGCTTATCAATTCAGCGTCACGAAGAGAAGAAAATTATCGCTCCACTTTTCTAAAAGCAGTTATGAGGGAGAAGACCAATTGGCAATGGAAATGGAAGCACACCTAATTAAAATACTCGTACTATTTTATTTCACCATGATAACAATATCTTTACTGTTATTCACTGTTTGGTATTCCCATTTACTTACAAATTCCAGCGAAATGGAAGCATTGTATTGTACCTTTATAGCGGCAATATGGAACGTTTACGGTGTAGGTCAGATATTTTCGGTTTTCGCCATAGCCGTCACGATTTTATTCATTCTGGGAAAAAGATATGTCGTGATGACATATCAATTGGCGGAAAGAAAAATCAACGATGTCTCGTTGAGTTCGTTTTTGGAACATTTTATGTACAAGCATCTTGAAATACAAAGATTTTTCATCATTCTTAATAATCAATGGGATATTCTTCTTCCGGCGATCTATGCTCATTTTATTTACGTGACAGGATTTCTACTGTACGGCGCTATATTTGTTGATATGATGCCAGTGTTGAAAAATGCCACAATAATTATAGCCGTGATTCTCTTAATCGGATGTATTGCAGTCTCTAGGGCATTATCGATTCTAACTTCAATTGTAAGTATTTTGTATTATCGTAATAATTACCATTTATAAACGTGTTTTCGTCTTTATTTCAGATGTACGATAATTACATTTCTGTGGGAAGATTCTCTTCTAGTAATCTGCCTTTGGAATATAAATTTAAAGTAAGAAAATTTTAAAAAATAACATAGCTGTAATATTGTTATTAAGACAAATTTGTTCTGTTTTTAACACAGATTGTCGACTTTATGAAAAAATTTGGCGGAAGACCTTTCGGAATATGTATAAATGGATTCTTCTTCGTCAAGAAAAATTTTGTGATTAGAGTAAGTTATATCATGATGTAATAGAAATTAATAAATATCATAATAATATCGTAATTAATTTACAGGTGGTGAGTGGTCTTTATTCGGTGTTATCATCCGTAA